TCAATGGCTACAGGCCACCAGCACTCTGCAGGGGCTAACTATCCATGTTGAAGACCTTATCCTTTTTGCTAGACTTCCACAATTCCAGTAATCTTTGTTTCTGTTTCTCCTCAGTCATTTACCAGCCACATATAGACCTGTTTCATCAATATAATTTCAAACTCCAAAATAATTCTGTCTGATCAGAGTCAACTTCCTGCCACTTCTGCTCTTTCTCTTCCCATATCAAGCCTGCCTTCACCTTCACAATGACCTCTGTTCCCTCTCCCCACTCCCTTCTCAGCCCTCTGTCCACTCCCCTCAATATCACTTACTCCCATCACCAGTCTGGACCACATGACCAAACATGACTCTCAAACCATCATTCTTCATTTAAGATACACTGCCCCCCCCCCCATCATTTTTTCATTGGTTCATTTGCATAGACTGTTTCCTCTAAATGGAATGCCAGTTTCATCTTCTTGGCCCAACAAACTCCTACCTCCTTTCAAGAACTATCTGAAGTGTCTTTTCATCTGTGAAGATTTTTTTTATTTCCCCTAGCAAGAGTCCAGTGCCCGAGCGGGCATTTGCTGTTTGGTCGCTTCTGATCATCCATTTTACTTTTCTCACCCTCTCAATTTATTTTTGAGGAATTAAGTCTTCCCCAGTGGATATATTCTTACAGGAAAGTAATGAGAACCTTTGTCTTCCCTGAATAGACCCATTATACTTGCCATGGAGTCTGGAGCAAAGAGGGGAAGATCCTAAAAGGACTGGATTTCAATCCAGTCCTATAGCAATATCTGTCTCTGCTTCTAGAAAGCTCTGATTCCTGAGACCTACCCCAGTGAGTTTATGAGTTTCAGTGGCCTCCCAATAAGTTGCTTTTGCTTAAGTCAATAATATTAGGTTTCTGTTGCTTACAAAGAAGGCTCCTATGCTCTCATAGTGCCTTATTACAGAGTGCCTACCACATGGCATTGTAGTTTTTGGCAAACATGTCTATCTCCACTGCCAGGCTCAAACAGTGTCTCCATCATCTTTGGAAACACAATATCTAGCATTGTGTCTAACACATGATAAATATTCAATTCCTACCAATTAAATGGACAAGTAAATGTATGAATGACAGAGATTAAGTTGTTTCCAGCTCTTTCCTTTTCCATTAATATCTGCAGCAAGCGAGCTCTTTTTGTTCCAAAGCTTTGCTTTGGAATTCATTATCAACAAGAGGATTTTTCTTGAATGCCACAAAAACAGGTTATAGGGATTAAAGAATAGACTTGATTAGAGAATTTTATAGATGAAGGGTCAGCAAGAGAACACATAGAATTCCAGTTCTCCCATCATCTTACAGAGAGGTGAGCTGGGTCCTGGGATTGCTGGACACATGGAAAGTCTACCTACTACACTGCCTACCTAGAGTATAATCATGATAAAATGACCTTGTCAGAGGTGGACTACTTGGGCACCCAGCTGCCTGGGCAAGTCAGATGTCCAGCACCTGGAGACCTTGGGAGCCAATGGGAAATTACATGCCCTCCTATTTTTAGAAGGTAACCACTGATCTGATAGGAAGCTGAGTTGGGTGCATCCCTTCCAGTAGGAAGAAAGAGCAGCTTGTTTTCCATGTAATCCAGAGTTGGCATCTGTATTAGTTTGCTAGGGAGGTCATGTTAAAATACGACAGGCAAGGTGGCTTAAACAACAAAAATTTGTTTTTCACAGTTCTGGAGGCTGGAAGTCTGTGATCAAAGTGCCAACAGAGTTGGTTTCATTCTGAGGCATCTCTCCTTGGCTTCTCAGTGTATCCTTACATGGTCTTAGTGCCTGCATCTCCCTGATGTCTCTTTCTCTTCCTATAGCGACACCAGTCATATTGGATTAAGATCCCACCCTAATGGCCTCATTTTAACTTAATCACCTCTTTAAACACCTTATCTCCAAATAAAGTTACATTCTGAGATACACTCAACATATGAATTTAGGGGGACACAATTCAGCCCATAACAGTATTCAAGTTAGTTACGAAATGATAATTAAGACTGCGGATGTAATAACATGTCAAGAACTTTCTATAAATTATGTCTCTGGCAAACACTGAAATACAAATCCATCTAGTTGAAGTACTTCCCATACTTGCTGCTCTCTGGCACACCTACTGTGCCCTCTTTTACTCCTGATGCTCATTCCTACCACCACTCAGGTTAGCTTCGAGCCCTTATCAGGAAAGAACAACAGGCATCCACTATTTGGCTGTTGAGAAGACTCCAGATTTGGGGCACCTGGGTGGTTCAGTCGATTGGGCAGATTTTTGACTCTTGATTTTGGCTCAGGTCATGATCTCACAGTTCATGAGCTCAAGCCCCACAGTGGGCTCTGTGCTGACAGCGGGGAGCCTGCTTGGGATTCTCTCTCCCTCTCCCACCACCTCTCCTCCCCTCTTTCTGTCTCAAAATAAATAAATAAACTTCAAAAATTATCTTAAAAAAAAGAAGAAGAAGAAGAAGATTCTGGATTCAGGAAGGTTCTTTACGTCAAGTTCAGAATAATATCCTCGAGTCATTTCCTGACTATGCTTTCCCCAAATTTGGAAATTGTTAAACCATAAAAAGGAAATTAAAGTGTTGTCAAGAGAATTTTATTTGATAATTGAGCCCTCTTATTGTAAAGAAAACTGTTATTTCAGTACATTTGGGAAGTCAAAAATAGAATTACAAATAGAAGTAAAAACCATGGGTGGAAATCTGTAGTGGTGTATCATTTCTCATATGTATGTGCATGCAGAGTCAACCTTTCAAAATGGATTTTTGCTCTTTGAAAGCATGATAATAGGAGAAATTGCTATTCAAATCAAAGATTGGTAGGTTTTTTTCCCATTATTTTTCCTCTTTAGTCATGACTATAGATAACATATAACTCAAAGCAAAAATTAGATACTAAAAGTGTCTGGTGTTACTGAATTGATTGGATACTTGAAGCATTCGAAATAATTGCAAATTAACTTTTAAGTTAAAACAATTTTTTTAATTTAAAAAAGAAATTGAACAACTCTGATGGTTTGTCAGGGAGAAGAAAAACAGGAACCACTTAAAGATTTTTGTAGTCTTCTTAATGAGGCATCAAACCTCAAAATGCCTCTCTTTTTAAATGGTTTCAGGCATGTTTCACCTAATCAGAGGTTTCACTGAGTGTCATAATGGACTTCAAGAGGCACTGTGATGTGGAAGGGAGTGTGAGTGTGTGTGTGTTGCACATGTGCACATGCACTGTGTGGGTGTAGTAGGAGCTGTAAAGCTGACTCTCCCTCCAAATAGCTTTCTGCATCTGTAAACTGATGACAATGATTTGAAAATTGTGAAGTGTTATATAAGTGTTTGAGAAATATTATTGTACCAGGTAAAATTCCATTTCTTTATTTAAATCCTATAAAATTAATTCTGAGCCCTCTTCCCAACACGGCAAGTTGTTATTGGTACTCTCTCTCTGTGTTTTCCCCAAGGTCTCAGAAAGGTTGTTGGGGAGGAGGAGGGAGCCTTGGGCAGAGCAAAATTTTCAGGGAGATTTTCTCCTCCAATCCTAGATGCACATTGGATATCTAGGCGATGTCCATTTCTCGGTCCTCATATTCTCTTGGAATCTTATAGCTCTAAGGTTTATGAGCCATGTTCAGACAAGGGAGTCTGCAAGATGAGACCTTGGTGCTCAGATCATTTCTTTAGAGTACACCAAGCAGCCCCTTCCCTGAAGACCTTCTGTCCTGCTTTGTACTTGTGGAACCTTGCATCGCTTTCCCAGACTGGGGAGCGTCCTTCTCCTTCCTACCATCAGAAGCATCTTTCTATCTCCTCCACCCTCCAGACGCTTTAACAAAAGACAGGAAGAGGATACTTTTGTAGACAGCTTTGATCTTCTGAACAAAACCAAGGTGATCTTGAAATTCAGAGGTTAAAAAATAAGGAGAGGGGCGCCTGGGTGGCGCAGTCGGTTAAGCGTCCGACTTCAGCCAGGTCACGATCTCGCGGTCCGTGAGTTCAAGCCCCGCGTCGGGCTCTGGGCTGATGGCTCAGAGCCTGGAGCCTGTTTCCGATTCTGCGCCTCCCTCTCTCTCTGCCCCTCCCCCGTTCATGCTCTGTGTCTCTCTGTCCCAAAAATAAATAAACGTTGAAAAAAAAAATTTTTTTTTTATTAAAAATAAATAAATAAATAAATAAATAAATAAATAAATAAATAAAAATAAAAAATAAGGAGAGTGTAAAGGAGGAAAGGAGGTTTTTTCGGTTGGTTTTTTAATTAAATTGACATAAGTCAAATTAATAGAAAAACAAATCTAATTTTATGTGGCTGAGTAAGGCTTATAAACCATCCTGAGGAAGTAAGGGACTAGGGCTTCAAAGGGAAGGAAGACAATTCACAGGAAGATGGGAAGAGCAAATGTTTGATAAACAAATGATTTTCATGCCATGTAGAGACAATAGGACAGGGAGGAATTGAAACAAACATGACCTACCAACTTCCCCTATCTTACCACACCTAGCCCATACTCTGCATGGTTATCTCTGGTGATAGCTATCTTCCTGGACCAGGCCCTCTATCTAAATTCTTATGGGCAGTTAAGGGGGAGGTAAAAAGCTCTTCTTGAGTCTTTCCAGCCTTGAATGTCTTCAGCTCAAAATAATCCACATGCCGAAATGACACATATTAGGGAGGTTCATCTGAACCCCCTCATAAGAAAAACCCAAACTAATATGGCAGCACATTATTTTAAACATATAAAACATGGGGCACCGGGGTGGCTCAGCTGGTTAAGTGTCTAACTCTTTATTTCAGCTCAGGTCATGTTCTCATGGTTTGTGAGACTGAGCCCCATGTCAGGCTCTGTGCTGACAGCATGTAGCCTGCTTGAGATTCTCTCTCTCTCTCTCTCTCTCTCTCCCTCTCTCTCTCAAAATAAATTTTAAAAAATAAAATATAAAACATAAAAATGATGTTATTTTTCCTTGTTTGCCCATATATAGTAAGAAAGCAAGCAAAGAAAAATTTCACAGATGAAGGAGACCAGCTGTTTAAGATGGGCATCAAGATTCTCCAGCAGTCTAAAAGCCAAAAACAAAAAGCAGAGTAAGTCTTTATCCAGTTATTTAAGCCAACTTAAATTCCTGGCTGAGAAAAAAGAACAATTCAAAATCTCGTTTGTTGTTAAAAGCTTATTGGGGGGCGCCTGGGTGGCGCAGTCGGTTAAGCATCCGGCTTCAGCCAGGTCACGATCTCGCGGTCTGTGAGTTCGAGCCCCGCGTCAGGCTCTGGGCTGATGGCTCGGAGCCTGGAGCCTGTTTCCGATTCTATGTCTCCCTCTCTCTGCCCCTCCCCTGTTCATGGTCTGTCTCTCTCTGTCCCAAAAATAAATAAACGTTGAAAAAAAAAAAAGCTTAAAAAAAAAAAAGGTTATTGGGATAACAAATAAGTTTATTTGCCCATAAGCTTTTGTTTTGAAAAGGATCAATTGATGTTTAAAGAATCCTACAAATTACCAGCCTAAACAAACAGAATTGTATATGAAATTGTGGTCCCTACACTTTAAGTGAAATGCAGAGTTAAGGCACTGATCTGAGTATTCAGGCAAGAATATTCTGTTTTGACTTTTATTTATTAGGTATTTCAAATAAAATAAAATCTGTTATTTGAATTAGAGTGGTTGTTTTAGATTGCTTTATTCTGCCTAACTCAGCATTTATAGAGCACTTTGTGGTTTTCAAGGCACTTTCATGTATGTGATTCCATTATATCCCAGAACAGCCTTATGAGTTAAGAAGAGCTTCATGTTCCCCCTGTAAACAGCTGAGAATAGAGATTCAAAGATGTGAGTGAGATGATCACAAGCACACAGCTGGGACGTAACCAAGCTGTGGCCACATGGTCTCACTCCATGTTCATCATTTCTCTTTTTCCTTGTCTACTTTGTCTGACGAGGAGGAAGAAATATCTTGTCCCCAGAGTAGAGGGATGCAACATGAGGTCACCCCTCAAGTCTCTAATTAAAACCTTGGGATCGAATCCTAGCTGTGGCATTTACTGGCTGTGTTATCCTGGACAAGTTACTTAACCTCCCTGTGCTCTGGACAGTGCAGTCAGGCTCTTAGGAGGATGCCCAACACATAGTAAGCAGAAGATAAAGATTTGTTATTTTTATCTCTAGTCCTCTAAATGGTAAGAGGAAGAAGGTGTGGGAGAGAAGAAAACAAGTGTGTCCCGAAGCAATAATAATAAAAAGAATGGGCTCTGTACCTCCAACTAGGAGACATCTTCTGTTTTCACACAAATTGGGCATACCAGCTCCGGGGAAAGCAGCCCAGTGCTGTGGTAGCCGACCCTAGACAGGGCAGCAACAGAGCTCCTGAGTTCTTTCTTAAAATTCAAAGCTTCCCAAAAGAGCATAAGAGTATACAGGGTAAAGGGGCACTCGACTATAAAACAACCTCCATTTATTAAACTCCTTCTTTGTGCTAGTTATTGTTCTGGGTATTTATGTATAGAATATCATTCATTGCTCACAATGAAGAGTCATAAATTATTATCCCCAAATTATACAGGAGTAAATGGAAGGTCAAAAATATTCTGTAATTCTTCCAAAGCAGCAAGAAAGGAGGTAAAGGAGTTGGACCTCTCTCTAGGGAAAGTTAGAAGCTCCTTATAAGAGCAAAGGAAACCATCCCCTACAAAACCTGGGTGTCATGCTGAGCATGTCTGGGGGCTATCATGATGAGTATGGGGTTAAATCAGACCCCCCAAAATACAATCTGGCTTGCTATGGAAGTCTGCTCATTCATGTGCTCACTGAATGAAGGAGTAAGAATAAAGAATTCTCAACCCAGCCCACCTAGATGAGAGAACAATGGAATTCTGGAAAGGGGCTGGTCCCTCAGATTTCAGGTTAATAGCAGATGAGCCCAAGATGAAGGCCCACTGGATATACCCTGTTAAGTTCAAGAAAACCCTAGATTCAGTCTAAAGGGACAAAATGACTCTTAGAAGCTCCCAAGTAACTATCCACTTAACCTTGATGGGTGTCTTCCTCTTTGGCTTAAAGAATGGGAGGAAACCCCAGCTCTGAAAGCAGACCATCCAGCAGTGCAGGAACTTACATGACTACCTAGGTGTCATTCAATCTCAGGCTATTCTTGCCTAGCCTATCCTTGCTAAAGAGTTCCGGAAGAGCAGCTTTTTTCTTTCTTTCTCTCTTTCTTTTTCTTTCTTTCTTTGTTTCTTCCTTCCTTCCTTCCTTCCTTCCTTCCTTCCTTCCTTCCTTCCTTTCTTTCTTTCTTTTTAAGATTTTCTTTTTAAGTAATCTCTACACCCAGCATGGGGTTCGAACTCACAACCCCAAGATCAAGAGTCACATGCTTCACCAACTGAGCCAGCCAAGCACCCCAAGAGCAGCTTATCTTTGCAGTCGCATAGATACATGAGAAGGTGCATAAAGCTGAGTCCCCTGACCCTTCCCAGTTGGTAGATAGAGAACTGAAACCAAATCTGTTCACAGCAAGAGACTTCAGGAATTTGTGGGCAAACTGAGTGAAATTCCTTCAGTTATCAGGACGGTCAAGCCAATTACATCTAATATAGCCATCTCTAAGATTCTGGTCAGAGGACAGAAAAAACACCCTACTGACCACAGAGGAATCATTTCTCTCCCATTCATTCCTCTATCCTATGCCCTACACCACTTCTTGTATAAGATAAAGGTGCTACCAGTCCTTTTGGCTCATCGACACCCACATCTTGACCCCATTCATTCACTAATTCATTCAGCTACAAATGGTCAGTAGTGCTAGAAGTAAAGATGTTAAGCGAGCATATGTCAGGGAGACACAAACCTGTCTGCAGGAGTCAAGAAGCCTTGGAGACAGCTGGAGTTAGCTGTCATTAAGAATTACTCTCCATTAACAAAGAAGATTTGGAAGTAAGCTGCTGCCCTACGCCAGGTTTCTAATGTATCCTAGAGATGCATTTAGTCTCCTTCTTCCCCAGCACCTACCTTAGCATCCAATACCAGATTCTTTAGAAATTTTCCAGATACCTAACTAAACTTCCTTTTGGGGATCTGCTAATGCTGCCCAGTTTCTCCTACATTTTCCATCTTGGGGATTACAACCCAGATCTTAATCCTACCTAATGTACCAACAACTTTCCTCAGCCCTGGGTCCTGCTTCTAGTATTCCTTATGTCACCTTGGACTTTCCTGACAGGGGACCAGAGACATCTAGAGGAATTGATTTTGCAACATTTTACTGCCCCCTGGGATCAGCAAAGGCTCCTGCAGCCCATCTCAAGTTTCTCTGCCCTGTTCCATGTTGGTGCCCTTCTAATCCCAGCAGGCTATGTGGTTGCAGCAGCAAACCATGTGACAGAAGGGCTTCAGGGAATCTGTGTCCTGATGTCATGCCTGCCCCGGGATGCCAGACATCTGTACTCACTGGCCTTTGAGACCTTCTGTCTTATTTGCCTTCTGGTCCCCAGAATCTCAGCTTGCTCTGACCATGGTTAATCTCTGGCTTCTTTTGTTTCACTGGAGTCTATTCACTGTGTTGGCATCTGGAACCCTAATACCTATGTAGCTATCATTCAGTCCAAGCCCATTATACCCTGCTCCAGCCACCAAGAACAGATTCGTTTAGCATCGGCATGGACAGGCGGTACATAAAGCTGAGTCTCCTGATCCTTCTGAGTTTGTAGTAATGGTAGATTCATGTATTTGTTCCTATATTGGAATCAAGGTCACCAGTAGAAGTTGCTTTCTTGTCTTACCGGTACCAAAAAGGAAATTATAAAAGTAAAAATAAACCCCAAAAGTACTCTCTGTCTCTGACACAAGTTTTGACCTTGAAAGGCTCTCCATCACTACTTGTTATACACATCAGGTCCAGGTGATTTCTGACTGGGATTCAGAAAATACAGTATAAGGCAATCCTATGGCATCTATCACTAAGCTTTCACACCATTTACCCACAAATTACAGGAGAACAATTGCCATGCTATGAAACTTTAGAATTTATGCAATTGTCATTGTCACCGTTGTCATCATCATCATCATAGTTAAAATTTTTTTGGTGCTTACTATGTACCAGGCACTAATGCCAAGCACTTCATTTGGAGTATCTCACTGAATCTTCTCAGCAACCCTATGAAGTTAGTGCTATTATTATCCCTACTCCATAGATGAGAGAAGCACAGAGAAATTAAATAACTTGCCTGAAGCTCCCACACTAACAAGTGGTAGACACAGATTTTGAACCAGGCAGTAAGACTTTAGAGTCCTACTAACCATTGGGTTTTATTTGGTTATTGTTTTTCCACATGGTGCTGAAGAACATGTTCTGTTTTAGAAAATTATTTCAGAATATAAAGGGACTTTTGTTTTCATGATAGTAGCTCTCTACATGTGACATTCCAGTTTTGATTATTTTTTTATTGGTTTTGATTATATTCTTACATATTTCAGAGTTCAGTTTGTAAAATAAATACTCCTATAATGTGGGTGGCCATGGGAAAGTTCACTTTTAGGACAAGGGCCTCAATATTTCACTTCACTTGGTGAATAAGCTTGAAACATATTTCTCCTTTTTAGCAGCTTCACTGTTTGTCAGATATATTTGAAATTGTCATCTTAGATAATGTAGGGCTGGAAAAAAACCTACTGGTCTATAGATGTGATGGACTTCAGCTAAATTTTATTGTTAGCAGCAATGACAACTTGGTCCTACTTGTTAGAAGTAGTCTGAAGGAGGGAGCAGAAAATTTCATTTTTGATAATCAAACCTCTACCTTCATATTTTTTAAACAGAGCCTATGTATTCTTTGCCAAAGCAGCTAACATGGGAAACTTGAAAGCTATGGAGAAAATGGCCGATGCTTTGCTATTTGGAAAATTTGGTATGCAAAACATAACAGCAGCTATCCAATTATATGAGTCCTTGGCTAAAGAAGGATCATATAAAGCCCAAAACGTGAGTTTTGAACAAAAAGTAAACCTTACATAGTAGATAAATGACATGTGAAAGGAGTTGGGCAATAGTATTCCCACTCTACCACATGAACACAGACCTAGGGAAGTTACCGTAATGCACTGAAATAGTAGTATCGGCGTAGGGACATAGCAAGAGCCCTGGGCAAATTCTTCCAGTTACATAGGTAAATGTCAGGAATGGAACAGAACTGCTCTCTAATTCAGCCTCCCATCTTAGGTCCATGGGTGTGTTTTGAAATAATTTGAGAACTCTGAACCCCTAATATAGTTACATTTAAATTTCCTTTTCTATTTTACTAATGCATTTCATTTTATTCAAAGAATAACATAAGAATTTCATAAAGTGTCTGGAAAATAGATAGATAGATAGATAGATAGATAGACAGACAGACAAACAGATAGATAAAGCAAGCCCTTCGCAAGCCAACCATTCTGACTCAACTACTGATAGGACTGCTTTATATTTTTGCTTGGCTTCTTCCTCATGCACCTCTCTTTTTACATCATCTTAATCACAACACAAATGCATATATAATTTTGTTTCTGGCTACTTTCACTTAATGCTACACCAAAAGCTTGTTTTCATCTTGTTAGTCTTTTTAATAAAAACATTTATTTCTGATTACAAAAGAAATTCATTCTCATTACAAAAAAAAAAAAAAAAGTCTGAGAATTCAGACAGTATAAAGAAGAAAGCAAAACCTGTCTAAAAAGCTTTCCTGGGGCGCCTGGGTGGCGCAGTCGGTTAAGCGTCCGACTTCAGCCAGGTCACGATCTCGCGGTCCGTGAGTTCGAGCCCCGCGTCGGGCTCTGGGCTGATGGCTCAGAGCCTGGAGCCTGTTTCCGATTCTGTGTCTCCCTCTCTCTCTGCCCCTCCCCCGTTCATGCTCTGTCTCTCTCTGTCCCAAAAATAAATAAAACGTTGAAAAAAAAATTTTTTTTAATAAATAAATAAAAAAAATAAAAATAAAAAGCTTTCCTCCCAGAGATCATTTTTGGTATCATCCAGTAAATTACAGAAGCTAGACTTTGGAGTCAGAAAGACGTAAATTTTAATTCACTCTGCCACTTGCTTATTAGATCCCTCCTTAACAAAATCCTTTCCCCTTCTACACTCTCTAGTTGTGTTTCCCTGGTAATCTAATAGGAGTAAAATGTTAAGTTGTTTTTAAGTAGCATTGCTTATGATTGCAATGACTTCTGATTGGCAAACTCCCTTTGTACTGGGGCAAACAAACTAAATTAACTGTAAATACCTGATGGTGGTAGTGATTCTCATGAGAACCCTGGACACTGTACCTATGATATCATTAGTTGAGGAATGAAGATCCTGAACCCACTCAGTATGTATCTCACCTCCTGGAGTCTGAGTCATCATCTGAAGGACCAAAGACAATGGCTGCTGGAAGACTGTGTGAACTGCAGCAAGAACTCCCACAGAAGGGAAGGCCTGATGGTGCCCTGCTGGGCGACCATCATTCCTGTGCTGTATCCACCTGAATAGACTGATGGCAAATGTAGCCTATGAGTCTCTATGTTTGTTTTGTTGAACCAGAACCTGGGCCAGAAGACCCCTGATGGGTGGGACAACATCCCTAATTTTCATCTCTGGAGTTAGGATATGATAAAATGCTAGATACTATGTCCATCTGGTTCACAGCTCTATCTCTAATAAGTCTGCACAGTGCCTGGGACAAGAAATATATGTTCAATGTTGAACCAATTAATGATGAATGAGTTAATGGAATTATTAACTGAGGATTAATTAATTAATTGAGGATTAAAGTAATGTATGAAGGCGCTTAATTCCATACCTGGAACTTTGTAATCATTCATAATAAAGAAAGGATATAAATATTATCATTACTCCTACTATTATTATTATTCTAGAATTTTCCCATAACGATGTAGAATTTTCTTACAAAAATGAGATATTTTAATTGCTATTTCTTAATCTCCTCTTTACTCACTAAATAATATGCCATAAACATCTTGCCATATAAATATATATATCAACATCACCATTTTAAATATCTGTATAATTTTAATTAATTTAAGTTGTTGAATACTATCTTTACCCCAATTAAATATAAAATATTATATTTACAAAATATTAAACAGATTTATAAATGTTATAATAAAATATGAGTTTTAAATTTTAATTACCCATATTTGGTTAATCAAAAATATAAAGTTCCAGGGGCGCCTGGGTGGCGCAGTCGGTTGGGCGTCCGACTTCAGCCAGGTCACGATCTCGCGGTCCGTGAGTTCAAGCCCCGCGTCGGGCTCTGGGCTGATGGCTCAGAGCCTGGAGCCTGTTTCCGATTCTGTGTCTCCCTCTCTCTCTCTGCCCCTCCCCTGTTCATGCTCTGTCTCTCTCTGTCCCAAAAATAAATAAATGTTGAAAAAAAAAAATATATATATAAAGTTCCAAGACAGACTAAATGTTACCATCATGTCCACACTAAAAATGATATCTCCTAGGGGCACCTGGTTGGCTCTGTAGGTTAAGTGTCCAACTCTTGATTTCAGCTCAGGTCATGATCTCAGGATTGTGAGATAGAGCCCCACAACGGGCTTTGCACTGATAGGGTGAAGCCTGCTTGGGGTTCTCTCTCACCCTCCCCCATACACACATACATACATGCTCTCCCTCTCTCTCTCAAAATAAATAAATATTTAAAACTGATATTTCCAAATTCCTTTTCAAACTAGTGAACAGGTACTTTATTTTTCAGTGGGAGTATTAATTAGTTAATTAAGCCACTAGTTGTTTTGTGGACACCTACTCTGTAGCAAACATAATCCTAGTTGATGGGTAGAAAAAGACTAATAGTTCACAGTCCTTATGGGTCAATTTGAAATGTAAACATATAATTGAAGCACAATTTATTTTTTAATTTTTTTATTTAAATTCAAGTTAGTTAACATATAGTATAGTCTTGGTTTCACAAGTAGAACTCAGTGATTCATCTCTTACATATGACACCCAGTGCTCATCCTTGAAAGTGCCCTCCATGTATTATGCTAAGCAGAATAAGTCAGTCAGAGAAAGACATATATCATATGATTTTACTCATATGTGGAATTTGAGAAACTTAACAGATGACCATAGGGGAAGGGAAGGAAAAATAAGATACAAACAGAGAGTGAGGAATACCGTAAGAGACTCAAATACAGAGAACAAACTGAAGGTTGATAGGGGTGGGGAGTTTGTAGGGTAGAGAAAATGGGTGATGGGCATTGAGGGGGGCACTTGCTGGGATGAGCACTGGGTGTCGTATGTGATGAATCACGGGAATCTACTCGTTAAGTAGACTACACTGTATGTTAACAAAGTTGAAAAATTAATTAACTAATTATTTTTTAAAGTCCCCTCCGTAATACCCATCACCAATTTAACTCATCCCCCCACCCACCACCCCTCCAGCAACCTTCAGTTTGTTCTCTGTATTTAAGAGTCTTTTATGGTTTACCTCCCTTTGTGTTTTATGTTATTTTTCCTTCTTTCCCCCCATGTTCATCTGTTTTGTTTCTTAAATTGCACATATGAGTGAAATTATATGATACCTGACTTTCTCTGACTTCCCTGATTATTTCTCTTAGCATAATTCACTCTAGTTCCATCCACGTTGTTGCGAATGCAAGATTTCATTCTTTTTCATCACCGAGTAGTATTCCATTGTGTATATATACGACATGTTCTTTAATCCATTCATCAATCTATGGATATTTGGGCTCTTTCCATACTTGGGCTATTGTCAATAGCACTTCTATAAACATTGGGGTGCATGTGCCCCTTTGAATCAGCATTTTTGTATCCTTTGGATAAATACCTAGTAGTGCAATTGCTGGGTTACAGAGTAGTTCTGTTTTTAATTTTTTTGAGGAACCTCCATAATGTTTTCCAGAGTAGCTGCAGCAGTTTGCATTCCCACCAGCAGTGCAAAAGTGTTCCCCTTTCTCCACATCCTTGCCAACATTGCTTATTTCCCGAGTTGTTAATTTTAGCCATTCTGACAGGTGTGAGGTATCTCATTATGGTTTTGATTTGTATTTCCCTGATGATGAGTGATGTTGAGCATCTTTTCATGTGTCAGTTAGCCATCTGGATGTCTTCTTTGGAAAGGTGTCTGTTCATGTCTTCTGCCCATTTCTTCACTGGATTATTTGTTTTTTGGGTGTTGAGTTTGGTAAGTTCTTTATAGATTTTGGATGCTAAGCCTTTATGTGATATGCAAATATCTTCTCCCATTATGTCGGTTGCCTTTTAGTTTTGTTGATTGTTTCCTTTGCAGTGCAGAAGGTTTTTATCTTGATGAGGTCCTAATAGTTCATTTTTGCTTTTATTTCCCTTGCCTCCGGAGACATGTCTAGTAAGAAGTTGCTGTAGCCGAGGTCAAAGAGGTTACTTGCAGCACAATTTAGATAGACTACAGTATAAAATGCTTCAGGCACAGAAAAGAGTCTAACTGGTTCTGCCAGAACAGGTAAGGAAGGCTTGTAGGAAGAAGTGACATTTCTACCCAGTCTAGAATATTGGATATAGGCAACATAAAAGACTTATTTGTCTCTATTTATTTATTTTTTTAACGTTTATTTATTTTTGAGACAGAGAGAGACAGAGAATGAACAGGGGAGGGGCAGAGAGAGAGGGAGACACAGAATCTGAAATGGGCTCCAGGCTCTGAGCTGTCAGCACAGAGCCTGAAGCGGGGCTCGAACCCACAGACCATGAGATCATGACCTGAGCCGAAGTCGGACGCTCAACCGACTGAGCCACCCAGGCGCCCCTATTTGTCTCTATTTAAATAAAGCTTTTTTTTTTTATTTTTTATTTTTTTTTTTTCAACGTTTATTTATTTTTGGGACAGAGAGAGACAGAGCATGAACGGGGGAGGGGCAGAGAGAGAGGGAGACACAGAATCGGAAACAGGCTCCAGGCTCTGAGCCATCAGCCCAGAGCCCGACGCGGGGCTC